TTCAATGTATCACAAGCATAGGTTGTCTTGGGCCAGATGGGTTTCAAAATATTATGACATCTGTTGGTTACTGTACCCTCATGGGTTGATAGAAAGAAGGTTATAATCAAGTGGCTGTACAGGCTCTATTGTATAGTTTCCCATAAGATACAATGTACAAATGGCAAACTAAAATACATCTTGGTAAACAAAATGGGAACAACTTTAATTGAAGAATATGGTACAACAACAAGTACCACGTCAACAACAGCAGCAATAACAAATCTCCTCTACCTAGCAGGCTATAGCCTTTGCCTCACTTTCTTAGCCATACTGAACAACTTCTGTGGTACTTTCTGTGATGCATTCCTCTTAACACGATGTGGCGATATTCTCGTGAAACAACAGGGTAATCGTAAAGCTGAATGAAATTAATCTCGGGTAAATTACGGAGATCGCTCGACCATCCAAGGGCTGAAATCCTTACCATAGTTGCTTCGTATTTGAAGTCACTCTGGTTTTGTTCTAGGTCCTGGACATCTGTAAGAAGTTCTCGGTTTTCTCCATCACTTGATGGAAGGATGTGTCACATTAGCAAAGCATAAACTTTCGACACTAAGTTGGCTCTAATTCCGCCCGTCAATTTTTAATTAGATTTCTAAATCTCCCTGAGATCTTTAGCTTCGAGTTTCTGGATGTCATCTAATGACCAAATTTCCATATTGTTGTATTAAAGAACCATTTTGAAGGGAGAAATCGCATTGAAAAGTGCATTAGAACGTAAAATGTCAGCAGATCGGTAACCAGTCAACTCGCCGATGGACCAACTCGCCGACGGACCAACTCGGCGACGCCAACTCGCCGACGTATAAAATCGAGTAGAGACGTCGGCGAGTTGGTCGTCAATTCAATACAACTTATTAGAAGTTAAACATACAGAAAAGTAAACGATATTTAGTAAAAAAACACTGGTGAACATTGGTGAACATCTAACAGAAGCTTAAACTTTGGTGAACATTGGTGAACATCACCAATGACTATAACAGCTTAAGACGCGAACGAGTTATTGTGCGACAACAACACCGTAAAGACTCATCATGTTAATCGCTCAGATTTTTTAACGAAAACTTGGCTTTCTAGACGAGATCTTTAGTAAAAAGCATTTATTTTTATTTGCAACAAAGTTTATAAGGATCTCAAGGCGAATAAAGCGACGTTAACATCGCCAATGAACAAAATTGGCTGTAGACGCCAATGAGTTGTGCGAGTCATTCGCCTTGAGATCCTTATAGACTTTGTTGTAAATAAAAATAAATGCTTTTTACTAAAGATTAAGCTTCTGTTAGATGTTCACCAATGTTCACCAGTGTTTTTTTTACTAAATATCGTTTACTTTTCTGTATGTTTAACTTCTAATAAGTTGTATTGGATTGATGACCAACTCGCTGACGTCTCTACTCGATTTTATACGTCAGCGAGTTGGTCCGTCGGCAAGTTGACCGTAATTCAGCAGATCAGCTGTTTGAAAGAACAGCCGGGTCAACCCCAGCCTCGTTATTCTGTGTGCGCGGTTACTAATCCAATATGGCACCGGGAACTGTAAAAAGGTCTACTGAAATGCTTAGTACATTATGGAATCACGCTCATTGAAAAACGTCACACGGGAAAATGCAAATAAGCTAGAAAAGAGAAAGAGAGTATGGGTAACTTCACACAGGCCTGTCAATCTGACTGCCAATCATGTAATCCCCCGCTCAGACAAGCGAAACGAATGGCTATTCATCAAAGAAGAATAGATGAGTAATCTCATGGGTAATGAGTAGCACTATCTTATTTTAGGCTGTATTGTTTTCAAATTGGTCAGATGTACAATTAAATTACCTTTAAAATGTGGGGTTTTTAATTTGTGTTAAGACTAAAATGCAGCAGATTAAGGATTGCTTCCAATTGCATGGTTGGTATAAACTTACAGATAAACTTCAGGCTCTTTTGATATGCAAACAAAAAAGAAAAGACTATTTCATCACTTTCAAACAATAGTGATTGCTCCAATTGTATCTCCATTGTCTCTAAACAACGAACCATGCATAAGAAATGTATTTCAAATTTAAATTTGCATTTCATTTTAAACATACTGTGAGCCATATCCTCCTCCCCCATGAAGGTGAAATGGAAACAATGGAACCCACCTTTGTTTCCCTCCTGTTCCCTGGCTTCCATTTCACCTCTGAAGGTTTTGCTCAGTGTTTTTTTTAGGTGATAAATCTCTGACTTACTCTAACAAACATAATTCTTAGATTACATTCAAACCAAAATATCTCAAATCAAACATCTTGTCAAAAATTGTAATTTGATCCCTTTACAGGAATGAAAGACTCAACCTTGTTTCTAGGGTCCTTTCTCTCTTCCTGCTTTAACTCTTGAACCCCTAAGAGTGACTAACATCTAAATTCTTCTTACAATATCACCCCTAAATTACACATTAAGGTCATGAGTTTTAGAATACTATTATGTCATTGGGTTGGTTGGTATAAACAGGCCAAAAAGGGTTTTTTTTTCTCTCCTGGAGAGATGGGGAATTTGAATCTTGTCTGGGTGGGTTGAGGAATTTGGACTAGAACCATTAAGTTTTTCTAGCAAAATAGACATGTTTTTTAATTGATATGGAGGTGTTTAACAGTATGAAGTTTTCAAATGCTTGGGGGGTGTCAGGAGGGTGGAAGGGATGTTGAAACTTCAAACTGATTGATGCATTACTGACTTTGCTGCAGTTCAAAATGATGGACAAGCATGAGATAGATAGATAGATAGATAGATGACCTCTATTTATAAATGATAATATTTTAAGCTACAATCTTGTGGGGTTGTGTGAAGAGAAAAGGAAAATTACATGTTACAGGAAGATAAATTAAATTTGAAAATAGAAAATGATACATATCGTAACTTCTAAGTATAAAAAAAATTAGTATGCTTAAGGTGAACATAAGAAGCAGAGACTTCAATGTCCAACTTCTTATTCATAGTAGCAAACAGTGTTCTTTACCACAGCACCACAATATTTAGGCAAGTCTTTCATGTATCTTGTTTGGAACCAGAGTACTATTAGAAAGGTCATGTCCCCTCAGAGAGTAACCATTTGAATAACAGTTAAGGGTGTCAGCTTTTGTGAGAAACAGGTGAAGGAATATTCAGTTTGAATTTCTGTCATAAATGTGGAAGAGAATTGGATAATAAGGAATAATGACACACTAAAGAGAGGTAGATAATTCAGCAGATGAGAAATTTGCCATAGAGCATTGCTTCAAAAGAGGATTTTGACCATCATCTGTGTTTTGGTAAAATATCATGGTATTTCTATCAAAGTGAATACTTTGAAAAGAAGGCTCAGTCAGTATAGGTTGCAAGGAAGAACTCAAGTTCATTCAGAATATACTCTGCAGGAAATGATGCAACATCAATTTCAAAGATTTTTCCGGATTTCCTGACAAAAATTATTTGATCACAAATCGTTCAAAAAAATTATTTGTGGATCCAACAATTCAATCACAATTGGTAATTGTTTTTTAGACTTGAAAAACTTTTAAACTACAATTTGAACTATGTTTTGGTTTTAAAAAATATATTGAGATTGTCTTTTGTCGCCTTCAGTAGAATCCTGTAGAAGAATTGTGATCTCTGCAATTGCTTAACCCTTTAACTCCCAGAAGTGATTAACTTGTAACTTCTCCCAATGTAATGCGTACATTATCCAGCAAACAGGTAACAAGAATACTTGATCTTATCAGGTAGAAACTGTTGTCTTAATCTAACACCAAATTCTTGTCACCAATTTACAAGGAAATGTGTAGTAGCTACAGGAAAGAATTAACAATCAGATGTTGGAAGTTAAAGGGTTAAACACTTTATTCTTTCTTCTGTTTTCTCTATCTGTTTAGGATGTATGAAGAGGGTGGTGGTCAGATGACTTGTTATTGGTATGTTCTGATATCATTAAAACTGTTTTTAATTGTCTTTTTTTGAGAGGAAATAAGGTACATTTTCAATACCAAATCAAGATGGGACTGGACACTAAATTCAGTAAATTTTGTCTCAAACCATTGAAAGAAATATTTACTGACATATTTGTTGGAATGACTTGAAATTGTTATATGGGATGTATGATTCTACACATAATCTGGGAAAAAGACTTTTAGTTTGCTCAGTGCCATGGAATTTGTGGAATTTCATGGAATGAAGGTGTGTTTAAAAGGCCATCTTGGAGAAAAATCTCCTCTAAATCCAAGCCAATTTTTAATACCACTCAAAATGGTTTGGCACATGCACAAAGATGATGGTGATAAAGATTTTCAGAGAAGTCTACCAAGTAATATTCAATTTGACAATTTTACAATCCCATACCTTCTCATTCAGAAGATTTCACAGACCATGGTATACTGTGCTGTAAATGTTCCTTGCCACCAGGAACCACAAAAATATGACATGGTGTGGGAATTAACAACTTTCAATCTAACATGGTGTGACAAAACAAAATCTGTGGTTATTCACTTGCCTATGGTTGTGATGTGTTTCCAAAATTGGAGATTTCATCAAAATTCTCAGAATAAAAGGCTAAAAAAAATGTATTTGTGTTTTTGTTGCTTGGAAAGTGTAAGTAGTCAGCTACTGTAGAGCTCTTTCCTGAGTTCAATCCATGATAAGATAGCACTTTGTTTTTCATTATCACATTGTTACTTACTAGGAAATGGATGTGTCAGAAATGTCATCTAAAGGAAATACCCAGTGAACAGCAAACACCATTAGACAAGGATCTTATCTCTATTTGCTGCAAGATTTGTCCTTGGAAAAAAAACTTCTCATTTTGAAGACAGACTGTTTTCCAATTGTCACATTTTACAAAAAGGAAACTTAAACAATGATCTTAAATATATGAGAAAATGGAGGCGTCCCAAAAAGGTCAAGTTAGCCTCTGGTACTGCTTAAGTGGTCTCAACAACACTCTAAGAAGAAATGGAATGCTTATTAAATAGACTCAGTGAACTCACATTTTGTATTGTTTTTTTCCAGCATAATTTTTCAAAATTAAAAGCTTCCTGTGATGTCAAGGCTACAAAAGGTAGTAAGAGGAATCTAAATCTGTTACAAATACCAACCTTTGATTTTGACAAAAACATTCATCCCTTAATTTTTTCACATAAATGTCTGCAGTGAAACTACATGTACCAATTTCAAAGTGAGTTAAAGAGGAAGACCCTTAAAGGAGAATTTTCACTTTCCTTGTAACTGTAATGGTTGTTATCAGTGACAGTAACAATGTAGTCACCTCTAAAGCAACTGGATATTTTCTTGGTTTAAATTTGTCTCAATCTACATGTATCTGACTTTTTGGCAAAGGATAAAACTTATTGAATTGATAAGAATTGACATTACATATCAAGTGGACATCCATTATTTTGATTAATTATTATTTTACAGTTTATTGTCAATACCATTTTTGTTTTGTTGTTGTAGGATTCCACCATTCCTAGTGTAGCCTCTACATCACAGGAAGACCAGGAAAGTAGGACACTGAAAGTCACTTTGCTAAGTAGTGAGTGGAGATCATCAACTGATGGGGACTTGTCAACTATCAACCGAGAGCTGGCCATCCAGTTAGCTAAACACCCAAATGTGGATGTTAGTATCTTGCTTCCAAAGTGTAGTGGAGAGGACAGGAGCTGTGCTGAAAGTCACAATGTGAAGCTCATTGAAGCAGATAAAGTTCCTGGTGTAGAGCCAGTTCTTTGGCTGTCATCTCCGCCAAGAAACCATACAATGGACTGTGTCATTGGTCATGGAGTACACCTTGGCCGACTAATTCCATTCATCAAGAAAAATCCAAATTACAGTTGTTGCAAATGGATTCAAGTTGTTCACTCTGCTCCTGAAGAAGATGGAATGTACAAAAACATTTCAGAAGGTGAAAAAATGCAAAAAACAGAAATCCAACTCTGTAAAATGGCTGATCAAGTTATCACAATTGGACCCAAGCTGGCAGAAGCTTACAAGCGTTACCTTTGTCCAGTTAAACAAGAGGAAAATGTTTTTGACCTTACTCCAAGCATTTTCTCTGAATTTTTGGAAGTAGAGCAAGCCACTGAAGAAAGAAGAACATTCTGTATTCTTGTTATTGGAAGTGGTGACAGCTGTGAAGATTTCAATGTGAAAGGGTATGACATAACCGCCAAAGCAATTGCTGAGTTGAAAGATGAAACCTACCAACTCAAGTTTGTCTATGCAGCTGGAGGAAAAGGAGATATTGTAGCAGAAAAGTTGCTCCACCATGGCATTAGGCGTAATCAGCTTATTGTTCGCAGCATTGATGATAGCAGAGAAGTGTTGGCTGACTTATTCTGTGAAGTGGATCTTGCAATAATGCCATCCAGAACAGAAGGTTTTGGAATAACAGCTCTGAAAGCATTATCTGCTGGTCTGCCTATACTTGTCAGTGGTAATTCAGGACTTGGAGAAGCTCTGAAGGAAGTTCCTTTTGGCTTACAGAGTGTGGTAGACTCTGAAGATCCAAAAGACTGGGCCAAAGAAATCAAGTGTGTCCGTCAGAAAAAGAGAGAAGTGCGACTTTCAGAGTCAAGATTTCTACGTGAAAAGTACTTGGAGAAGTATAGCTGGGAGGTGCCTTGTAAGAGTCTTGTGATAAAGATGAAGAATCTTATCTGTGGTAAATTTACTTAAATTTAAATCTTACAGCCTTAACTTGTCTAATAACTGATAAACCAGGTATACTGGTAAAATGTCGAATCAGCCTTGAGTCAACTTGGACCTATGGTTACAATAATTTTTTTATAGACCTGTCAGTCAAATAGTTTAAAATGATAAATACTCAGGAAAGGTAAACTTACTTACCTACAAAGTTAGGAACAGTGTTGAAGAGTTTTGAAATATGGACTTGGTAAAGTGCATTTGCACAGAGAATACTTTCTGTAGTTATTTTACTCAAGACATACATGTAAAGCAGGTACTGTTGAAGGTTGAACAAATATGGTCAAATTGGTTGGTGTCTTTTTTTAGATTGACTTTTTTAGATTAAAAAAATACTGAAGGATTAGTATAGCAGAGTCAAAGTTCCATGCCAAGTCTTTTGTGTGAATGATGCTTAAAACAGGCAAATCCTCTTGTTGGGTAATTTAGCAGTACAAACTGAGTTGAGAATGTACAATGGCCACCATAAAGGGTTTTGAAGAGCTGACATTTCAAGCATTAGCCCTTTGTGAGAGCGGAGCTAATGCTCAAAACGTCAGCTTTAAAACTCTATATGGTGGCCGTTTTACGTTATCAACTCATTTGATAAAACTTATAACTACCCTCTCATACTCTTCCACCAATGCAGCACCAAAGTTGTTCAGAAACTTACCCCTTTTATTGAAACCCTTTTGTAGTTGACCTTACTTAGTATACCTTTGTCGTCACACTATCATTTTGCAACAAATTCTCAAAAGATATCTTAAGCTTTGAGAACTGTGGTTTCCTCTGCTTCCAAATACTCAATCCTCAACCCATGTAGTTTTTTCTGTTTTCTTCTTAAGCCACATGCTGTGCTTTTGTCAGCAACCTGTCACGTACATGTATAAGAATAAAGTAATGATCATTAAGTTGTTTTTCTTTAAGGTGGGAGTGAACAAGTCATCCATGATCTTCAGCAGTGGCAACAGAATGCTGGTAGATATAAGATAAGCAGCAACACAGACCCACTCTCAAACTTAAAGAAGATTGCTTCAGAAAAGGGCTATAGAATTTCTGACAATCAAGGGTCAGGAAATTGTATGTTCTATGCCTTGTCAGAGCAACTGGAGACTGTCAAAGGAGTAAAGATCAATCATTTTGAATTAAGGCAGTTCTTAGTTCAGTATCTAAGAGAGCACCCAAAACAGGTTAGTATTTGGTAAAGTACATGTAATGTCTAGGACAGATACTACAAATGTATCTTCTGCTCCACGTTAAAGTTAAATGTGAGGAATTATTATTATAACATTTTCAAGGCTTTGATCAGGAGTAAAAAACAGTGTGTGTACTGTGGTAATATGTGAAGTTGAAGTTGACACAGTTGAAAAGGACAACTTGTCTTTGTATCATTACAATGTCTTTCTTTCTTGTTTTGACTTATTGCTATGTTATTTTAGAACAACTGTGGGTAATGTAATGCTGATGAACTTGTTTATAATCATGCATTTAAATTAATCCTTAATTTTAAAGATAAGATATGATGTTAGTTGTAAAATTACTCAATCCAACATATACAGGGAGTAATATTAAAGACTATTGAGACTAGCAACTAAAGAGTCTTGTATTTATCTTTGAATACTTTTGAAGTTAATACTTATTATATGAAAATATTACCATATTGAGTCATTACAAGTTGCTTGATTACTATCAATATTACATGTTATCTTGTTGGACTTTCTCTTAAAGGTGGATGGAACAGATCTGTTTCACTTTGTTGATAGACACACAACATGGGGTGGTTACTTAACAGACATGGAACAAGATGGCACTTGGGGTGATCATTTGATTCTCTGGGCGGCAGCAAACTGTTATAAAATAGCCATTCATGTGATTAGTGGTCTTCCAGGCCATACTGAGGTAATTATCAACCCAGATTGTCCATTTGACCAAAGCAAACATCTTGTACTGGGACATGTCCATGAAGTACACTACATCAGCCTTCAGCCCTTACAAGGTAAAGCTCAGAACATAACACATTTAAAAATTGGCCTGTCTATGAAATTTGCAAAGGAGATATTCTAAATATTATAACTGAGTGCACTCTGCAAGTGTATTTAACTCCTATACAGTTATAAGCTCATAAAAGCTTGCAGAACTGACTGTTTTGATTTATCTGTGACGTGAACGGACCTCTGTAGCTTGTAAATGTACTGTTTGTTTTGTTTACCCATTTCACTGGTCTTGTGATATTTACTGTTGAGAACTTTTCTTTCTTCTCTGGTCCTTTCTTTTTATGAATGTAGATTGCAATAGTTGCATTTGTCATTCGTAACAACTTTTTTCTTGACACAAAGAGTTATGTCATGTAAAAGAAGGGAACTAATGGCAGAGTCTGATTTGAAAAGTTGACATAAGGATCTTACTTGATTTTACCAATATCAAATTTTTAATTTATTAAGTCTATGAGAACTTATTTTACATTAGAAATTCAGTATATTCTAATGATATATGTGGTTCCTCCACTACTACTAAGACAATCAAGCATGATCTCCTTGCCACTGCATGCTGTTGGCAATCATTGTTAATTTATTTTGGTGCATGTATGTTTTTCAGAAATTAGGGCAACTATACCAGGAAGGGATAAGAGACCAGCACCTGTCAGTGCAGATCAACCTCGCAAGCAACTCAGGGAAGAGCTGACTAATCATGACTACTGTGAAGGTAAATTGTGAGGGCATGAGGTGAATAATCCAATCCAAATTCCTTCTATCATTTGTAGCTCATGAAAGCAAAAGTGTTAATATTGGTTGGTTCTTTACAGGCGTTTTTGGAGACAGTTTCCTTGTTTTCCCCCTTGTGTAGATTTATCTTTCTGTTCAGTTAAATGAGACATCAAGTTTACCCTATTGGCATATCCAGTTTTGACCACCAGACTATTTTTGTTGAAAAATTTTGTAGACAGTTACACAATGGTAGATGATTTGCTAGATTTCTAAATTGCATTACCTACCTTCAAAATCAGAGTTAATTATTCTGTAGCTTCATGATAACAATTTGAATATATAGTAAACCTCAGATTCGTGAGGAAACTTTTTTCAGCATGACTCTTGCCACCATTAGTTTAATGTGTTGAACCCTTAACTTTGTAGTTACATGTTGCATGCAAATATGTAATAAGTTTAAAGCAAATGCAATATTTGAAATTATTACTGTTACAACAGTTGAAATAAGTAATAACTACTGCGCACAGATGTAGTGCTTGGAAACAAAAGCTAAGCAAACAAAAAGTACAATCATGTTTCAACGAGTGTAAAATGTTTAAATTTTTGGCATTAAGTTGTTACGGCTGAGTCTAGTATCTGAAAGTACTCAGCTGAACATTTTTGCTTACAATTTGGAAAAGAACACTTGTTTGCCTCCACAGGAACACATACACTGGACTTCTAACAAATTTCTTCAGTTTTACTCATTTCAAATACAAGAAAGGTCTCATTTATACGTTGATAGATATAATTTTTTAGATAAATAAAACAACATCTGGTGTGGAGCAAGATTTTAAAAACCTTCCAAATACACCTCAACTCTAAAGCGTCTAATTGGTAGGGTTGGTATCTTATCCATTTCAGGCCAGAACAGACACCTGTCTACTGAACACAATCAGTATCAATTTTCTGGGAGCAGTTCAACGTGTTATAGAGGAATTGTTGTACTGGTGAAAACCGTTAATACGGTAGTACTAATGACCAAGCAAAAAACTAAGGTTTAAGGTGTTAGAAGCAATGTTTCATCACTCCTGGACCACCTAAACTTTTGAAATTTTATTGTCAATGAGACTCTCTAAGTGTATATTCCTTGATTTTGTGAAGAGAATTTTTAAGATCCCTAACAATAAAATATTTCTAGTGATTCATGAACCTGTGCAAAAGTATTAAATTTAGACAGATTGTGATGCTTGAGGTTCCTTGTGTATTTTTTTAGCTTAACTGCTTGATTAGCCATATGCTGCCCGTTTTAGGAAAGATTTCTTTTAGTTTTTTGCTTGGTCATTAGTACTACCATACTAACGGTTTTCACCAGTACTACAGTACTATCAGTACGTATGCTAACTGTGTCACTAGCGTACCAACGTACAGTGTACTAGCGTACTAACTCCACTTCTCCGACAACCATGAATGACCTGCGTCGTTATGTACTAGCGTTCGATCAAAGGACTGCATGTCACTAGCGTACCAACGTACTAGCGCACTAACTACACTTCTCCGACAACCATGAATGACCTGCGTCCTTGTCTACAAGCGTTCGATCAGAGGACTCCATGTCACTAGCGTACCAACGTACTAGCGTGCTAACTACACCTCTCGAACAAGCATGAATGACTTGCTTACCAACGTACTAGAGTTCGATTAAAGGACTGTATTTCTCTTGTGTACTAACGTACTAACTACACTTCTCCGGCAACTGTGAATGACCTGCGTTCTTATGTACAAGCGTTCGATCAGAGGACTGCGTGTCATTAGCGTACCAACGTACTAGCGTACTAACTACATTTCTCGAACATGCATAAATGACTTGCGTACCAACGTACTAGGATTCCATTAAAGGACTGCATGTGTCTTGTGTACCAACGTACTAGCGTACTAACATCATCTCGTGAATTATCACGAATGACTAGCGTACTAACGTACTAGCGTTCTATTAAAGGACTGGAACCTAACAGACTTGCGTAAGGTAGTCTGGTACTAAGTTGACCATTTTTTGTTTTTGAATGCGGTATTGCGGTGAAGAACAACTCGCATTGCGGTGTGAATCGACGGTTTTCGGTGAAATAAAACATTTCCGAGTTGCTTACCCTTTTAAAAACTAGATTTTGATAAAACCGTGGTAAATTGTCCAACAAAATAAGCAATGAATCCGGGTTAATCTTAAATAAACATTGGCTGTCTGACCCCTGACCGAATATTGGGTAATATTTTACTTGACCCCTGGACCTCCATCACACGCTCTGTCGGCCAGCCAAAAACAAGCGCGTGGTAAAGATGAGTGAAACCAAAACATTTAAATGCTGAGACTTATATCGCGATGTCGGTGCTTTGAAAATATTTTTGAGTGATGCGGTGTTAGTTCTATTTTGTTTGCGGTGTTGCGGTATTCAGAACCCCCCATGTCCCCTCTGATAATAATCTTGTTTACTTGTTGCCAATTATAAAAATACTCTTCTAATCCAGAGCCTTCTCATTCCCATTTTGGGGGTGGTAGATATCCCAAGTACCAACTTTTTTTTGAAAAGAAAACGACGCGCAATTGTGCTTATAAATTACTGTTGACGATTTCTGCAAAAAATTAATATTTCTGATTCTTTTTGTCCTACATGGCCTTTATGTCGTTTTGAACGGAGAAATACTCCAGAGTCCAAGAAAGTGTTCACTACTGTGCCGACAATCTTTCAATTATTTTTGTCACCATAGCTTTCATAGTTATCGTGGACTTTGAGCCTGAACTACGTTACTGTTTTTACTGTATTTCCGTTCTAATATAGTTTATTGCCGTTGTGTTTGAACTTAGCATTTTCAGTGTGATTGACGAATTTCTAGCTAAAACCCTAATATTACCAGTCGCACATTCAAAAACTTTGACACAAATTTCCCTCCAATTATAAGCCCAGCCAATTTTGAAACGCAAATGTCCCTCCTATAATAAGCCCCTTAAAAAAAATAAGCCCCTCAAAAAGGTCCTTTTAAAAATATAATCCTGGGGCTTATTTTCGGAATTTTACGGTATTTTAACCACTTCAGCCAATTCAGCTAGTTTTTTTGTTTTGTCGGTTTGATTTATTTCAGATAGTATGACCTTAATTATTAAACACGAACCATTTCAGTTCGTTTGACCAATAAGCTAGTTTATGCGTTTTGTCGGTTTGAGCCATTTCAACTAGTTTGACCATTGTAAGCCGTTGAACCAGTTCAGCTTTTTCAGATTTTTTCTATATTTTTGAAAGAAACAAAAAATGGCCATGAGTTATGTTGGAATACTTTACCTCGTTTCTGCTTTACTGCTAAGAGCTATCACATGATTGTCAAAAGAACCAAAATATTAGAATTTTTTGGTTCGCAGGTATTTATAATGAAAAGCATGGCTAATAAAACACGCGTTCACACGAATAGTGCAATCGCAAAGTTTAAAGCCGCCTAAAGAGTTGGAGAGCAACATCCTCGAACGGTACAATTCATGAAACAACAGACTCTAGTAACTGGACCATGATTCGACTCATTCCTATCATTTGCTCGCTCAAGCTTAGAAAAAGAAGACATAATCACTATGATACGCGTAAACAAGTGTCTTGTTGAAGTTTTCTACGTTTTATTGATTATGGAACCCATTGAAGTGAATGGAGAGAATGGTGAGGCAACTATTTGGTATGAGTGAAGCTAATTCCTCAGAATTTGATCAATTTCGGGTCCCGGACAGTTAGGCAAAATTATCGTTTCGCAACTTCTAATTTACCACATGGAATAAGAATGAGATCACATCATCTTCTCTGGACACTGCACTCCCATACCCATTTTCCCCCGAAAGTAACGTCCACTCCTACTTATTTAGAATAGTTATTGTCTGTCAACAAGTATCTCTTTCTGTTTGAAAAGGTATCTTTTTGGGAAAAGGGATCAGCCTCGAACCATGTTAAAATTATCGGCACTATCTTCCTCTCAAATCAATATTTCATAAAAATGTTTAGTTCCTTGTTCTTTTATAATTCAGAACCTCAGGGGTCTTTTCTAGATGACTTTTAAGTCGTGTAACGATTCGGTTTTTCGAGGTCAGCATTAAAAAAATTGCCATTTAAACGAAGTCTTATTTATCAGATAACTAGCTTGAATATATTACCTTGAACGAATTAAAGTCGAGATGTTTTGGACAGTTACCACTCACACTCACCACGGCATGTTCATTTGTTTAGCACGTGAGTACTTTAGTACTCGGTACGGACAACTCATCACGGCGTGTTCTTCATTTGTTTAGTGCCTTAGTACCCTAGTACTCGGTACAGACACTCACCATGGCATGTTTACTTCTTAGTACGTTAGTACCTTAGTACTTGGTTCGGACAACTCATCACGGCTTGGTTAATTCTGAGTACGTTAGTACTGTATTACTCGGTACGGACAACTCATCACGGCTTGTTTATTTCTTAGTACGTTAGTACTGTAGTACTCGGTACGGACAACTCATCACGGCTTGTTTATTTCTTAGTACGTTAGTACTGTAGTACTCGGTACGGACAACTCATCACGGCTTGGTTATTTCTTAGTACGTTAGTACTGTAGTACTCGGTACGGACAACTCATCACGGCTTGTTTATTTCTTAGTACGTTAGTACTGTAGTACTCGGTACGGACAACTCATCACGGCTTGTTTATTTCTTAGTACGTTAGTACTGTAGTACTCGGTACGGACAACTCATCACGGCTTGTTTATTTCTTAGTACGTTAGTACTGTAGTACTCGGCACGGACAACTCATCACGGCTTGTTTATTTCTTAGTACGTTAGTACTGTAGTACTCGGTACGGACAACTCATCACGGCTTGTTTATTTCTTAGTACGTTAGTACTGTAGTACTCGGTACGGACAACTCATCACGGCTTGTTTATTTCTTAGTACGTTGGTACTGTAGTACTCGGTACGGACAACTCATCACGGCTTGTTTATTTCTTAGTACGTTGGTACTGTAGTACTCGGTACGGACAACTCATCACGGCTTGTTTATTTCTTAGTACGTTAGTACTGTAGTACTCGGTACGGACAACTCATCACGGCTTGTTTATTTCTTAGTACGTTAGTACTGTAGTACTCGGTACGGAAAACT